AATAAGAACTTGTTTCTGGAGATACAAGGAAAAAATTTTAGTTTTTGTGTATTTTAGAAAAGAATGAGTGGCACTCATAATCCTCAGAATAACTTCAATTTGAAGGGATTGAATTGTGCAAACACCTTCCATGTATATAAAGTAATACATTCATAAACTAAATACATTATTACCCAAACACAAGGATAAAAGTATTATTTTGTCTCTCCACCAAGACTTTACTAGGTATGTCTCCAAAGAATTTAATCTCATACAACCCGGCAGATATCTGTGAAACCTGCCCTTACAGACAAAGTTTGAAAATTCTGGTTTACTAATTTTGTAGTGGCTACAGAGAATAAAATGGAATCTGGAACTCTAATGAAGGTCCACAAGCTTCAGGGTAATGAACACTAAATGCCATAGCCCAAGTTACAATTAAGATGTTGATAAAGAGATCTAAAGAGATCTACCTTTTCTCCTCCTCTGCAAAATAATTACAAATAAAGTTGTGGCCCTAAAGATTATTAACCACTTCTCAAAGATGATTCTGGGTTCACTAAATATTTATGCATTTCTTGGAGTAAACATTATTTCAGTGTTTTTTTGTAAAGGCTGACACTTTTCAGTTTGATTTTGGTAACCTGACTTCTTTAGTCATCTTTAAAAATAAGTTTTAAAAGTCTGTTACTTAAAACTGTATAGAACCAAATTATTTAAATGAAAAACAAAGGAATTCATTCTGCCTTTAGTACTCCAACTGAAGACTTCCTGTTAACAGCTAAATTCCTTCCTTTGGCCCATAGGGTAGGTGCCTGCCCAGTACACTGGCCAAATGTTAACGGTCAGATTTCACCGCTAAACCTAGAACTTGCTAAGCCCTGAAACCCCCTGAGATACTATACAACCTGTTTTTGGCTTCTGCCAAATACAATAAAATAAAGTTAACCCTTAAGATAAGGTATTTACTGAAGGTCTAAGTAACTGGCAGGATATACTACTTGCATTAAGTCATTACCAAACTATTTTCTTCCTTATCTTAATGTTTACCAACTTAGTAACAACAATCAAAATTTAAAGGTTGTGAAAATAAATCTGTCTATAGCACATCTTTACCCTCCCACAAACTTACTTTCTCCTTTCCATTCACTCTAATTCCTTGAATTCTCTTCAGCATTAATCTCGAAAACATGGTTTCAAGTCTTTTCAAGATGAATTCAAGAAACTTCCAGCTATTGTTTCATATTCAGATTTTTTCCTTCTGGAAAAGACAGCTGTTAGGCTTTTCTGCTTGGTTAGTAATTGGTTATTAATCCTTCCCTGACACTTAACAGACTCCTTCAAAAAAGCACTGTTTTTCTCTAAAAGGTAAAACATTAAATCTTATTGCCCTGATATAAATTAATGCTATTAAGTGAAATTTCTCAAGCACATTATCACTCTAATAAATGCAAATCTTTTTTAAAAATGACTCCTCAGTTTGAAAAAGTATCCAATTAATTTGTATTTTATTTATCCCTAGTTCATGATTGGAAAGTTATTTTGAAATCTGTCATTAAACTTATAAAAACTATGTCAGACTGCCACTAAGAGAGGATCAGTAGAAATTTAGTTCTTGCAGTATTTCCTCAATGACACTCTGTGAATCAGAATTTTAAAACAATATTTTAACATGGCATTATTAATTCTTCATACTTTCATTTAGGAAGAAAAGTGTCATGAGTTCTCAGTGATGTTTGCAATATAAATACACATGATAAAAGTAAGTGCGAAGAACAATCTGTATTTATGGTAAACAAACTGTTTTAAGCTTTTATTCCTGCTACCTCTCAGCCACCAAAACTGTCTTAAGACTCCAGACTTGAAATCTCTGGATTCATTCACTTAGTCAACCATCTATGCTAATCCTATCTGAATCTTCTCTTTTCCCTATCTCTCATATCCCATTTGTGGCCAAGTCCCATCAATGCAGATGAGTCCCACTTCTCCCCTTTCTAAATGTTTGCAGCCCAAGTCAGGTCCTCATTAACATTTAAAATAATAACCTCCAAACATTCACCAAATGGAAGATTATGAAGTCAATGAAACTACCCATAAATAGTATATAACATTAAGAAATTTATTCAAGTAAAAAGCAGGGATATAAAACTGTACAGAATATAATCACAACAATGTTAAAAAAAAAAAAAAAGAATACCATAGGAAAAGATGAAGGAAATAACTGAAATACAACGAATCTCTGGCCTGATGAGCACTTTCCCTTAACTTTTCTGCTTTTTGCAAATTTTCTACAGTAAGCAGCTATTACTCTAAAAAATGATTTATTTTTTAAAACTTACTATTTTGTTTGGGTAACAAATCATTTCTGAGGTTTAAAACTTATGATATTAGAAACAGCCAAAATAAACACCAAAGTATGCAACTGTCTAATCCTTTAACCTATACATTCTTTAAAAACAAAAAGGCATGGGGCGCCTGGGTGGCTCACTTGGTTAAGCCACTGCCTTCGGCTCAGGTCATGATCCTGGAGTCGCGGGATCGAGTCCCGCATCGGACTCCCTGCTCGGCAGGGAGTCTGCTTCTCCCTCTGACCCTCCCCCTTCTCATGCGCGTGCGCTCTCTCTCTCAAATAAATAAATAAATAAAATCTTTTAAAAAAAAAAAAAGGCACTGGGGTGCCTGGCTGGCTCAATCAGTGGAGCAGGCGACTCTTAATCCCCACATTGTGAGTTCCAGCCCCACGCTGGGTGGAGATTACTTAAAAAAAAAAAAAAAACCACCAAAATCTTAAAAACAAAGACACTCATCCATGCTCATTTCTATATGCCTAGAAAACCTCTCCTCTTCGATGTCCCAATGAAATTCCAATGTCAGCTTTCACAAAATAAGCTTTTACCAACTATTCTCCATTATTCCTCAGTTTTCAAAACTCCAGGGATTTACTTCTCCTAAACCCATAATTAAGTCTCATTTTTCCCTTAAAAGCATCACAGACTTGCCTTTCCTCTCCAATACCCCTGGTACCTGCAGTCATCTTTTCTCCAGCACTCTATCCTGAGTACAACTAGTAATCTTTAAACACTGCTTTCATAAAAATGACTTGTCTTTGAAATCTGCAATGGCTTCTGTTTGATTTAAATTTGTTTGTTTGATTAAAATTTAAATCCTTCAGCTTGTTATTGGACCACAGATCTCCTTTCTACCTCACATCTTCTTTCTTCCAGTTAGTAGAACTACATAGTTCCTTGGATTTACAAGTGCACTCTGTTTTCAGCAGGGCTATTCCAAATTTTTCGTCTAAAATGCCTTTCTTCTGCCCCATTAAACTAAAGTCCAAGCTCAAAGTACAGTTCAAGTTCTACCTCTTCCATGAATCGTTCTTTAAGTGTTAATAATCATTCTTCTCTCTCTTCCAACTCCCTACTGCACTTACTGTCAGTACCACAGAGTATAACAACTGTTCTGTGATTACTGTGCATATACTGGTTTTGTTCCCCAAATAAGATATCAGAGAGCAGATACCAAGAAGGTCAGAGAAAATGCTAGACACATAAATGATTAATACTACATGAATAAGGGCGCCTGGGTGGCTCAGTCAGTTAAGCATCTGGCTCTGGTTTTCAGCTCAGGTCATGATCTCAGGGTTGTAAGATCAAGCCCTACATCGGGACACGACAGGCATGGAGCCCGCATAAGATTCTCTCTCTCCCTCTTACTCCGCCCCTCACCCCCCAAAATACTAAATGAATGTTTTCTACATTCCTGCTCCAAACTGTTTGTTTGTTGTTGTTTTGAGAGAGACAGGAGGGAGAGAGAGAGAGACAATCTTAAGCAGGTTCCACACCCAGCATGGAGCCCGATGCCAGGCTCGATTTCATGACCCTGAGATCATGACCTGAGCCGAAATCAAGAGTCAGACACTTTAACAGACTGAGCCACCCATGCGCTGTTTTCAAGTTACTTTGTTTGAAGTTTCATAGGTTAAAAAGTAAATGTCTCATGGATTTATTTTTATCCTGCCAAGATTTAAAGCCTGCAACTTACCAGGAAAAAAACAATTAGATAAAAAACTTTAATTTTCAGCTTGCTTCAGTTTATCTAGTGTAATCCAGTACTCTGGGAATAAAGTAGAACTGTGCATTTTTCCTATCTCTTCTGCTCCTTGTACAAGTATTCCCAAGTTAGCAAATATGGAAAACAAATTTTAAAAAATTATATGGCTAGTATTTTTATTCCTAAAAGAACAAAAGGACAGACAACACACAATTAACCATTTGACAGTAAGTCTTTGTGACCAACCTGGGAAATAATTATTGGCCTAGGAAAACAGTTTTGCTAGGAGAAACAGTGCAGGCTGTAGCTAAGGAATGATGCAGTTGCCCAAGGTATCCTTTACTGTGCCCAATTCTTCCTATTCACCTTTCCTTTCTCAGGTTTAAGACCAGGTTCTTTGAAACTCTAACCTTCCCATTCTATCAAACCTAAACCTAGATTCAATCCAACTGTAGACATTAAATTCTCTAGGTTTTCAAGGTTCATAGTGTTAACAGTCTAGATAGCCGGGCGCCTGGGTGGCTCAGTTGGTTAAGCGACTGCCTTCGGCTCAGGTCATGATCCTGGAGTCCTGAGATCGAGTCCCACATCAGGCTCCCTGCTTGGCAGGGAGTCTGCTTCTCCCTCTGACCCTCCTCCCTCTCATGCTCTCTGTCTCTCATTCTCTCTGTCTCAAATAAATAAAAATTTAAAAAAAAAAATCTTTAAAAAAAATAAAATAAAATAGTCTAGATAGCCTTCAGGTAAGTACTAAATTTTTATAAAATGAGTTAATAAAATAAATGGGCACAAAATTCTTTCACTCAGCATAGATTACGAATTATTTGCAAGCTGGCTTAAGAAAACTGGCAAAATGGAAAAGTATTTTTCTGGTAGTGTCTGTTGGGTTCCCAAGAAAATCCAGAAAAGAGCATCTTTTTAATTGTTAATAAATCTAAACTAATGTAGGATTTATAATTTTAAGTTACCTGAAGCATGTCTCCCCTGATTCTGTGGCATTCTTTGGAAGAGATCGTGGTTGTATTCATAGTATCTATAGTCTTCATGTGCACGATCTCCAAGTGGGCGCCTTCTCTGACCATCAAAATAATTATCTGAATAATAATATCGGGAACCAGAGTCTCCATTTTCAACAGCAAAATTAACTTCTGTTAAAAATGACTGAGAAGAGCCATACTCTCTAGGGACATCTGCTAGACTCCGGGCGAGATAAGAAGGTGCAGATAATCTGTTGCTTTCTCTTCTCATTATTTCATGAGGTGTTCTTTGAATTGGAGTTCTTAGGAAACTCTGGTTTCTGGAAACTATTCCATCTCCAGATGCTGAAAAGGCATTAGGACTTGAGTCTGGCAGACAGATATCAGTTCGTCTTGGAATTGTGGGACCATGCCGAATAAATGAAGGCATGAGATCTACAATAAAATAAAACAGAGTAAAATGACTACTTCAGTTAGTAATAATTACACTTTTCAAAATTTGTTCATTTACATCTATTACCCCCAAATGCAAAATTTCAATGGACTTAAGCAAACACAATTTAAAATTCTGATTTAAGATAGTACTTGGGTATTTTAAAATTAAGGCTAATTTAATTAGTATTTTCCCACTCAAATGAATTTATAATTTGTATGAATGTGGTATGTGTACATTTAGTCAGAATCAAACGTATTCTGCATACCACCATACATAACATGATGAAATGTCAGTAAGCTTAATTACGGTTAATGAAATACTCATGAATAAATGTGTAAAAATAAGAAACAACCTAACAAATAGATACACATCACCAACATAATTTAAGATTATTCTGTTTGTTGATTTCACTTCATTTTCAAAATACCCAAAAATCCTTTTACAAGCAAACACAATTTCAAAAATAAAACAGAACATAATGCTATTCCCAAACATGTAAAAGTGGATTCCTTTCAAAAGACTTTAAAATAATCTGGTTTCCTCTCAGAATTACGTAATACTAGTACAGTAATCAAAAGTTGGAAAGTAAAAAATTTAGCTATGAAAACTAAAAAATAAAAAGATCTCATTTCAAAGAGGCATACAAATGTTCAATCAGTTCAAAAATGCCAAGCCTGGGGCGCCTGGGTGGCTCGGTTGGTTAAGTATCTGCCTTCAGCTCAGGTCATGATCCCAGGGTCCTGGGATTCAGCACCACATCAGGCTCCCTGCTCAGCGGGAGGTCTGCTTCTCCCTCTCTTTCTGCCCCTCCTCCTGCTTGTGTTCTCTCTCTCTCTCTGTCAAATAAATAAATATTTTTTTAAAAATGCCAAGCCCGAAACTATGGCTCCCTTAAGAACACACAATTATAATTCAAAACAGAAGATAAGAGTAGAACAATGGCCTTCAGGATATAGTACTTCTAAATACAGAACTTAAGTGGCTTAGACATGTCAGGTTACAAAGCAAATGACTTTATAACATGAAAAAAAACTAGATTTGGAAACTGTTTTATTCATTTATTAAGTAAACAATATTAGACAGCACTGATATTAATAAGCTTCAGAAGCTAACTCTAGACAGAAGTTAATATCCAAATAAACTTGCTTTAAAGTATGGCTAACATGGGGTGCCTGGGTGGCTCAGTCAGTTAAACCTCTGACTGGAGTTCAGCCTCAGGTCGTGATCCCAGGGTGGTGAGATCAAGTCCCCTGTCTGAGCTCAGCAGAGTCCGCTGCACTCTCTCCCCCTCTCTCTTAGCCCCTCCCCCCTTCAGTTTCTCTCTCTCTCGAATAAGTAAATAAATCTTAAAAAAAAAAAAAAGAAATCAATTTTCAGGGGTGCCAAGTTGGATCAGTGGGAGGAATGAGCTGCTCTTCATCTCAGGGTTGTGAGTTAGAGCCCCATGCTGGGTGTCGAGATAACTTAAATAAATGAACTTTAAAAAAAATAAATAAAAATCAATTTTCTGGTTACTGATGTACCCATTCATCTATTTTGTTGTTCTATAAGAAAGCACTGCAAATACAAGGATAAATCTCTAAGGCTAATGATGTGGTTATTATTTAAAAAACATGCTCTCCACACCTTTCTGTGTGATCCTGGGTAAATACTAGGAACCTCTATGAACAGCTTTCCCAATTACAGAATGAGGTAATGCTTAAGTCACAAGATTTGTAGGAGCTTCCAAGAAGGACACTTACACGAAGTGCCCACCATGCAGTATGAATATCAAAATATTAGTTCCTTATCTCGCAGATGTTTTGAACACACAAGCAAGAATTTAAAATTCAAAAGATACAGCTGAAAAAGCAGAGTCAAATGCTTAAACTGAAAAGTGTGGCGGGGAGGCAGAGAGAAACACAAACTATTAAAGTTCAAAAAAAAAAAACTTTTTGGCAATTTCTCCTAAAGTACGATAGAAATTTTTGCGTACTTCGCCTTTTTTTTGGACTCGGGGAGGGAAGGTGGTATTTGAAGCAATCCTCACTTAAATACCCAAACACACATGATTTTGGCTTCTCTAAGATCTAAGACTGATGATGAGGCTTTGGATAGCGGCTACAACAGCGACGATTAACTGTCACCTCCTCATGTCTACAACAGGCAAAAGGGCTAAGGAATTCTGCCCGAGTTCGCACAACTTCCTGCACGGACGAGTGACACCCGAAATGTTTGCAAACACAAGGCTTATCTCGAGGTATCTAGAAGAGGAAAAAGTGTGCCCCAGTCTAATCACTTTCACCCCTGTAGCATCAGGGAATCAGCAATTTAAGCGTTCCCAAAGAACCTCTTCTAGTAATCAAAACGAAACAACACTCCGCCCTGGAGGGGAACGGGAAAGTTTGTTATTTTCAGGGAGGCCCACGGGGGAAGGACTAATCTAAACTTCTTACACTTTATCGGCTTTCAAACAATGACCACCACTTCAGGCACAACACAGTTTTAGAAAATAGTATTTCACGGAGACCAACAGGAAAGAGAAGCCGCAGGGAGCCGCGTCGGGCGCCCGCGAGGCTCCCGGCTGCCGCTCGGGCCAGGTGTGGGTGCGCCCCGCCCGACACTCACTCCGCAGCAGAGGCGACGTCTCTTTCTTCACGTACTTCCCCTGCACCTCGGCGGGCTTGGACACTTCGTTCTTGGTTTTCTTTCGGGACAGCATCCTTGTCGACGAGGCCCCAGGCCGCGTCAAGCAGCCTCCTTAGGGCTCCGCGAAGGGCGATGGCCGGCCCCGCCGCCACCTCCGCCGGCGCCTCCGCCTCCTTCCCTCCCGAGCCGCCGCCGCCGCCGCCGCCGCCTCTCCGCAGCCCGGGGTCGCCCGCAGGGACTGCCGCATGTTCGGGGCGCTAAGCGCGCCGGCCACAACTCAGTCACTTGTCAGTTCCTTCCTGGAAATCTGCTCGCTCCGCGATGCTGCCCGAGAACTCCGTGAGCAGAGGCCAGAAACGCCCGGCCAGGGCCATGGTCCGTTGAGGGCCGCCTGGTAACCGCTACCGCCGCCGCCGCCTACGTCCCGTAAACTTTCCCCGCGGCCGCTGGGAATTCTGGGAAACTCGACGCAGCGCCAGCGCCGCCGCCCTTCCCCCACCCCAGCTCCGGGGCGCGGCTCGGGCTGCGGGACGCCGGGCGGCGCTGTCAGCTAACGGGCGGGCCCCTCTGCCTCCTCGGAGGAGAAGCGGGTCTTGCGGTCGGGAGACAAGGACCAAGTCCGCCCGACTGAGCGCGGGAAGCCGTCGCGCGCTCTTGCCGTGGAGCCCCTTCTACCCACAGATGTTTCCCCGGGACCTTGAGGGAGCGGGCGACGCCTCCCGGAGAAGCGTTCTTGTCGTCATACTTGTGTGAGGACGTCCCTGCCGGAGTTTCTTGGGCTGGTAAATTCAGGTCCCTGATAACGCAGAATGCGAATAGAGTTGAAAGGCCACAACCCCCAGGCTAGTGCGGTGACAAAAAATTCAAGATGCCTCTTTTTCTTGAAAACACTAATCTGTCCAGAAATCACTGATCAATCATCTTCTGTATGCCAGGGTGTGTCTCTCTGATAAAGGAAAAACAGAGGGAAAACGCAAAATGGAGTTTATACTACCTCTTCGATAAATTTGATGTTAGCATAATATCTCATCATCCCTCTCATTGTTACATTGAATATACTTGGAATTTAATATTACAATCTTAGAATTTTTTAGGATTTTGAGCATTAAAGGTCAAGACCTGAAATTTTAAATTTAAAACAGAGCTTAGTTTCTTCTGTATAACTTAGAGGAGCTGCCAAATGTACACAATAACATTTGGAAAATAAGGGGATCCATTCCGTACTGAACAGATTAAGGCTTTGATAATGGAGAATGCTTTCCCTGAGATCGAAAACATCTTAAAAGAGATGTAAAACAATTAAAAGGCAATAACTTTTTTTACTACATAAGATTAGGAGGATGATCAAATTTTGTTTTGCCATGAACAAACCAATAAGACGTTTAGTGTCTGTCTCCATCTTTATATGCTGTTATGTTCCCTTGGTACAGAGTTTCTCACAATTCAATAACCAACAAATCCTTATTGAGCATCCACTATGCTAGCACTGTTCTAGATGCATTGAATATAGCAATAAACAAAACGGACAAGAATCCCTACTCTCATGGGGAAGAGAAACAATAAAGAAGGAAAATAAGTAAACCATACTGTGTTACATAGTAATAACTGTGGAGGTGAAAATAAAACAAGAAAATGAGGGTCTGCGATTTTAGGCAGTGTAACGGAATCCCTGGAGAAGGCTCTTGAGAAGGAGATATTGGAGTTACTTGGCAAATTGGAGGAATGGGAAGAAAGTCTATGTAGCTGGAGCAGAGGAGGAGCATAGTGGGAAATAAGTTAGGTAACAATGGCTAGAGCATCGAGGGCCTTGTAAGTCATTGCAAAGAATTTCACTTTGAGCAGGGGAGTGACGTGATCTAACAATGTTGTAATAAGATTGCTTTGGATGCTGTGTTGATAATAGATTGATAGAGAACAGGGGTGAAAGTAGGAAGATCAATCAGAAGCTATTGCTGGCTTGGACCAGGGTAATAGCAGTAGAGAGGATGAGAAGCGCTCATATTTTGGACATATCTTAGAGACAGAACCAACAGGATTTGCTGACAGATTGAATATGAAGTGTGAGAGAAAGAGAGAAATCAAGGATCACTCCTGTAGGTATGTAAATCTTAATGATAGAACAGAACAGAGAGCTCAATAGAATAGCAAATTATACACTGAGAAGAACACGAGAGAAGCAGAGACTTGTTCCTGGCTCAGATAAGAAGGCCTGGGACTGCAGTATTGGTCATGTGGATGAAGAAGGAGTGATGAAACAAATGAGGAGACAATGGGGTTTTGTTATAGATGGTATGGAGGCAGGAGATGAAGGAGGGAACGAGGCACTCAAAGTGTCAGATTTCTGCCCAGGGCTTACGTCAGAAGGATAAGAGAACGAAAGTTTATTAGGACTTTGTTAATAAAGCCAGCTCTCAACACCTGGGGTTTTCCCAAAGACTGAAATACAGGCTAGCTTTTACATACATGGGAGAAGGAATCAGAATCTTATAGCTAGAAAAGAATTCTGAAACCAACTAGGCTCACCTCATTTTATGCATGTGGGAACAAAACTGGAAAAAATAAGTGTTTTGCCTCAGATTATATTCCTGGTTAGTGGTAGAGTCAGACTAGTCTCAGAACTGGAGTTTTCTGTTCCCATGTTGCGCCTTTTTATGCTGTGGCATAGTAAAAATCCCACTAATGTGAGTCCAGACTCTTTCTAACACAGTTGTTTTGGGCAAAGCCGTCCACGTTCCCTACTAAGTACTCCCCTTTTCAATGCTATTTCAATTCTTTGAATTATAGCACAGAGAAAGACTCAATTAGGTGCTCTTTTATAAGAGTTATAATTTGCTATCTTATCAAGAAGGGTACATTCCAGAATCCACAATCTGCAGACAGTCTCAGCAGTAGCCAAATGCATAGCGTTATGTAAATTTGAATACAAATCCTTAAATCCAGAGGCTTTGAATTCACATCTGTTTTCTAGAAGTTCCTGGACTTCTGGGAGCTTTTATTAAAGAATCCAGACTTTGCAGCTATAATTCTCCAGATAATGCTTTTGATAAGACTAATACTATATTGCATAATAGAGATATTTCCCCCTTGCAGTTGCTTTCTCCGTGCAGAAGATAAATTAGGGAGTTACTCATGTCTTAACAACTATTTTTTATTAATTTAGGATTAATTTTTTTTTCTTTAGGATTAAAATTTCTTTTAAAGAAGGTGGTAAGGTGTGATTCTGGGCTAACCTCATAGCTCTGTGAGTCTTAGTTTTCTCATCTGAAAATGAAGGAATTGGACTAGTTGATTTTCAAAGGGTCTTTCAGCCCTATAGTTTTGTGCCACATAGGCAGGAGGAAATATACAAAAATTAAAACAGTTGCCCTAGTAGGACAGTGGGTATATAAGTGACTTCTCATCTTCAAAAATATTTATATTGTTGTTTTCACTAAAAAAGTAAAAGTTACAATGTCAGCATTATATAAAATCATTAGCATAAAAATAAAATTGCATGACTGTTCACTACATTCAAAGAAACCCAAGGTTCTTATGCTATTTTTACTTGCCCTTGTAAGAAGTGTGTAATTTGAAAGGGTGAACTATGTGATAAAGGATTGTTCAAGAAAGGACCAAATGGACGTAAGACCTACATACGGAGCTTCTTCAAAAAAAAGAAAAGGGAGAGGAGCATCTATTCTCTAACCCACTGTTCTTGGTCATATAACAAGATAAGCGAAATCCGAATCAGGAGGAAGTAATAACTGTAAGGATCTAGGGCTCTTCAAGCCTCCCAACTTTTGTTTTTACCCTTTGGAGGCAGAAGCTTTAGGAATTCCCTATGAAGGATAAGGATATGTGATGTTTACACAGTTCTGAAAATATAAATGCTTAATATTAGCAACTAGTTGGGTTCCCAAATTCTTAGTGTCTGATGAGTACCCCCCCCAATAATGTAGAGTTTTAGTATAGTAAGTCTGATCAAAAAGAGTCAAGCTCTGTCCCTAAGTTTAGCTATTCTTCCTATATACTGTTATTGCCTAGATTTAGAGGTCCTCTGAAACCTTGCCAGGTAGCCAAAATGAGTTTCGTAGCTTGACAATGGTAGCCTTTGACTTCAGTTTTATGTCCTCTAGGCCTTTCTGTATCTTTGCCTCTCTAGCCCTAGCAAATTTTCTTCCAAAATTGGGTCTTATATTCAGCCACTTTCAGTTTTATTTTTTAACTGTTCTTTGTAATTAACAACTTTTACTTGGCCTGCAGTAAGTTTTTTTTTTGAGAAGTCATTACAAATTTGCCCAGGGCTGTCATTGGGGGGTGGGGGGGGAGGGTGGCTATTGACATGTACCTAATGTGGAAACACCTTCATCCTTTCCTCACTACATGGGAGCCAAGGGATACATCTCTACTCCATCTGCCTAAATAAGCCATACCACTATTTCTCTTTTGCTGTAGCTACTCCATGCTGATACAGAGTCCTCCTATAAAGATGATGTCCAGAAGTCCCAAATAGAAATTGAAACAAAATATTCATCTGTCTTCAGTAGCTATTGGGGATTTCACTAGTCTTTTAATACTGCCTTCTCTTACTCCAGCCTGGGGCCTACTGTGGGGCCTGTTCAGTCTTCCTGCCTCAAATGCTCTATTTTATTTCATGTCTTGTGGGAACTTCAATTATAAAGGAATGAGAATCAAACTAGCATCAGATTTTTCATCATCAACAAAGATTGCTATAAAACAATGGAACAATGCCTTCAAATAAATGAAGGAAAATCAGTTTTAGTTTACAATTCCATATCCACCCAAAGAGTCACTAGAAAGCAAAAGGAGAGTAAAGACATGTTGGGGCATGAAGGAACTCAGAAAGTGTATTTCCCATATATCCTATTCTATTAAGTTACCAGAAAGTGTGTTCTAACAAAATGGGAGAATAAACTCACACACACAAAGAACAAGCAAAACAAAAAGAGAAAAACAAGGATTAAAGAAATAGTGACTCTAACCCAGGAGAGTAATAAATTTAAGTCTATGTATCACAATTGGACAACTGGAACTCAATCCAGATTGGAATTGGAATTAAGAGAACTCTAGGAGGAAGTACCTAGGAAAAGATGTAATTTAAGAAACATGTACAATTTGGAACAAATTAAGATGATAAAAGCTGAAGTTTCAGAAGAAAAAGAAAGGCAATGAAATATGAAAAACTTGTGGGAATACAGCAGCATGGCCCTTCTGAAAAGGACCTACTTGAGGATGAAATCCAACAAACCAAGATTTGTCAAATTTTTTAATTTTTTAATTTGTCTTGCATTTTCTTATATTAATACATCTTTAAAATTTTTTACTTTAAAGAGCTTAGTATCTTTAAAAACTTAATCCAGATTCATTTAGTCAAGACAGGTCTAAACAGGACATTAAATATCAGGATCCTGGGGCACCTGGGTGGCTCAGTCGGTTAAGCGGCTGCCTTCGGCTCAGGTCATGATC